TTTTCATGCAGTGACATCGGCAAATGCGAGTTTTATATGGATAGCTTGGGAAATTCAGTCTCCGTGATAAAAGTTGTTAAGCCAATGATCATTAACTAGACTTTAAAATTGTATTGATTTTGGTTATAATATCATTAGGGACTCCTTTATTGAATGCTATTGTGTTGTTTTTGGGACTACATTCATCAGTAATATACAATATCCGTGACGAATGGTATATATGCCATTTCGGACGGTATAAATGATGTAATACAGTATCTCCTCACACATATTCTATTGAGAAAATTACCTATTAAACGACCCAAGCTTCTCTTTATTGCAGATATACAAAATGTAGATGTTATTAAGCAAAATTATCATAGCTGAATATTTTATTTGTATATATACGAGCCCGTTTTATTTGTATATATACTCAGCAAAAGAACACGTACAGTGCAGTCTATTCCTTCTTCGAATTGTACATTTTTGAATCATTACTTTTTCATATAAATTAAGTTTACGGTTTGTATAACAAAAATATTTACAACGTGCCCGAAGATTGTATATATATATATATATTTTGCCAATTCTATAGAATGTATAAGAAACAAAATCGCTAACAATTTATATTACTCTATTTATATCTGACATCAAAATACTGAAAGAAGTTGACCTATATATACTTATAATTTTATTTGTGGTTTATGTTAGGTATATAATTCTTGACAATAGATGCTTACCATTTAACTTTTTTTCATTGCAGTTGGCGGTGGTATATTTGTTGTATTTTTTGCCGAGCATTTCATATCCAATGTTGACATTACTCAAAAGAAACACGATGTTTGATTTGGAGAGGCAGAGGAATGCATACTTGTTGTACACTCATGGTAGAATGAAATGGGTTAATGATTCGAGAGCGATGACGACGATGTTCATTCTAGTATGTCGGTCTGTGGAAATATTTCTTATGCAGATTGTATTTAAGATGAATTTACTTTGATATTGGTGTCATTTTGAATTTTTATAATTTATGTGTAGCGTGATTCGTAACAATTTTTTTGACAAAGATCGATGATGTTAGTTGACTTGACTATTGTTTTGAAAGTATCAGTTGAATGGTGAATGTTTATCATGGTTTATCCGTACTAAGATGAACGCTATTAATCATAATTAAAATGTAATACTCTATTTTTTCAAGTTTTTATAAGGCTAATGAATGGTGATATATGGGTCACGTTATGGCATGAATAGTCGTATAACAAGTTTACATATGTGGTATAAAATACATTTGCTTATGTGTGTCGTGTTAAAGAAATCATACAACATTTATATATTTAAAGAGTCAGTAGAATACCATCTAAAATTTGTTATCCGCTTAATCAACTTAAATTATAAATATATTTTAAAATTTAGTAACTTTTTATCTGTTATTCAATTTTGTTATATGATATATCAAATTAATAATCTTTTGACGATCTTCGATTTAATATTCATATTGTAAATAGAAAAAATAGGAAAACTTTGAGATTTCGCAATTTAAGTGACACCTAGTTGATAAATAATCTGTTAATTAATTAATTAAGTTAATTTTACTAAATATCATCATGTAACTGGAAAATAAACTGAGTTTTGGCCCTTTATAGAAAGTAAAATATGCTCATAAACTTTGTGGTATGTCTCCACATAGTAGCAGCTATAAACATATTCATTCAACTCTAAACCTCCACGATGAATTGCTGAAAGTGCATGAACACAAGGGATTCTTGTGAGATTCTACTTCTGCATCCACACATTCTTTTGCTCAAATCCACACAAAATTGACTTCCATCACTACAACTAATGTGATAATGAAAATCACTGGCCCTAATAGGGATGCAATCAAGCATTTTGACAAGATTCTGCTAGATTATTTCTTCTATTCTAGGGCATATAATTTTTCTTCTCCATTTTCTCTTTGCCCTTCAGAGTATTCTCTC